CAAATCTCACATCTCACCATATATTCATCGCTGGCTGCCTTGAGAAGACTCGGGAAAAATTAGTTTTCTGCCTTCGTCTAATTTAACTGTATTAGCGCAAATTGCATTATTAATTTGCGCGTTACTGAAATTACAGAAGTTCGATCAATTTGTTACGATATTGAGTGGATTATTGATCATATTGGGCGAATTTATTTGAATGAGTGCAGTTACTTTTGTGGAGTGGCCTGTTGATTAGATGTTGATATCCTTTGTGATTTCATGCAGTCTTTTTGCTTCGTTACGCATACGAATGTGCGTGACAATATTATTTTTTGTGATTAGGTTCATCGCTGTTGTTGCTGTTGTCAACGCCAGTGTCAGTAAAAGAGAACTGGCAAACCTTTCGAAACAACGTAAGAAGCGTTTCCGCTTTTTTGTGAAATTTTAATTCTTGGGTTAGTGAAAATTAGAAGTGTTAAATATTTATTTCCCTGGCATTAGACAATGAATTCAGCAGAAAAGCTTAAAAAGAATGGTTCCTGCTCTATGGAAGAAAAACTAGATATTAAAAGAATTAAAAACATATCTTCAAAATTTTATTGAAGATGAAAAATCATTGAAAAGCATTTGATCGAAAATTCAAAAATTACTTATACTTATATATGTATATGTATGTGTGTGTGTATATGTGTGTATATATATATATATAGTGTTGTTCTTTGTGTTAGGCATCTTGTCGCAAACATCTTGTAGTTGCTCTTTTTAGAACTTACAAACACTGGAGCTAACCCGCCTAGACAAATCTGCAATGAGTATCTTAATAGTAAATTTAATATACAAATTTTAGCCAAGAGACATCAATTAGCAACAGTAGTTTTATTTTTAAAAGTTTTGAGAAATATCTAAATGATGTGAGAATAATGATCTAAATTTGAATTCTGAGAGATGAAAGGGGGACAACGGAAACAAGAATGCCCTGAATGAAAGTCAATTCCATTTTCCAGTAGAAAAGATTGATTGATGGAAATCATGTTATTGTTGCTATTAAGTCCATTGTTATTGGTAGTGTGTTTTCGATTAGGGACCTAGGTATAATCTTTGACTCTAGAATCTTTTTTAAAGACCACTTAGAGTTTATGGCCAATAAGTCCAATCAGATGTTGGGATACATTAAGTGTTCTTGCTATGAACTACACTCTATGCAGATACTGCGACTTTTTTTTATTTGCTATTGATAAGACCGATTCTAATGTTTTCTTCAACTGTTTGGTCATCACGTTCTGCTAATGCTATTTCTAGAATCAAAACTATACAGCATGCAGTTCATCATATGTGAGTTAAAGACCCATTCATAACTCATGAATATGGAGATATGTCTTTGTGCCAGAACTTGCCTTCACTTAGGTCGTATAGGGACGATGTAGATGACTTTTTTTGCGGAAATGATTGAAAGGTAGTATTGACTGCTCACTTTTGCTGAATCAGGTAAATTTTAAGGTTCCCACTGTACACATTAGGAAACCACAAAATAATTTTTTGTCACGAGTTGTTAAGCATTCTTATACCACAAATAACTCTATCCGTAGAATTTATCATGTTATTGATAAATTTGATATTGATATTTTTTATTGAGAATGACGCTAACTTTGAATATGAATTGCAGAGCAAAACATTGAAATTTGAATAATCAATATTTATATTTTATTTATTGTATTTTTATAATTTAATAGTTCCTTTTTAATTTTCTTTATGTATGATGCACTGTGATATTCAGTTGCTTACATATAAACTGTCAATTATCGCGTGCACACAATTGGGCAAATTGTCTGGTAACAAATAAATAAATAAAATAAAAAAAAATTGCTTTATATTAACATGCTGATATCATTGTCGATTCTTTGCCCTATACATTTTTCCACAGAAAATCCACTCAAAAATAGCCAGGACTACTTATACTTCAAACAGTTACATAATATTATAATACTGCAATTCCTGTCCTCCTTAACACATCTCGGCCATCACATATATAACTCATTATAAATAATAGAATCTTGTGCTAAATCTAATTCTTATAAAGCTAATATATCGACACAAATTTGACAAAGAAAACTGCATTTCATACAGCTATAACATTATCCAACAATGAGAATGAATTCTCTGAATTTTCAACTCTCATGTCTCAGCTTAAAGTATACCTAACTAATAACTCCTGAAAGACTTGCAAATGAAGTGCCGTAAATTGAAATTTGCAAATTCAAAAATGTGAAAAATTGCACTAAACTGTTCATATTTTTTTAAAAATGTACATGACCTTCTTTTTAAGAACTGCTTTTTTAGAACATACTTCATTTAAAAAAAACAAACTATTATCAATATTGTACTTTTGCATTGTTAAATTTTTGTTGTTTGAAATAATTTTCGTAAATACAGAGAGTACGCCTAGATTTACACAAGCGCCAATTTCCTTTCCGTTCTTTGCAATGTATAAGGAAAACTTTAAAGAAGAAATTTTTTGAAAAAATAATTGTTTAAAATTGTTTGTTTCATACCAAATGAAGCAAAACTACTACATTTTTGAAAAATTGAACATGATTTTATTTCATGATCTATTTTTATTGAGCAGACTGTATTGAGAAAAAAAATTCTATGCTCAATAATGTAGTTATAGGAAGACACTGAAAACATTTTTAACTTTCAGTTTCAGAGTTCAATGAAAATGTGACCAGCACCACTATTTTTTACTGCTCTTTCCTACGTAAAACCAAAAAAATGTATTATACAAAATACTATTGCTATTTTTGAAAAATTGAATATGACCTTATCTTAAAATTTGACAAGATTTTCAGAGAAAACTTAAGAGTTAACATGACCATGTTCAGTCCATTAAGATATTAGATAAATAGGAATGTAAAGAAGTACAGAAGTTCAGTTGGTATCGGAACTAACTGTATGATTGATTCCTAAGGATTTAGGGTAATAAATGCTTGAGTAGGGCTTGCCAAAACAATTGAATTAGATAGTTTAGCTATATCAGTATACAGAAATACATTTGAATTACTGATTTAATGCAGATATTGTTTTCATTCATCCAAAATTGAGCATTATGGAAATACTAACAATCTTGCAGAAATACATTGTTGTTGAGGAAGTGATCAAACTACATATCTGCTACAAGACATTAACTGTAACAGATTACACTGAATTTTGCAGCTGGCAGTCGCAGAATAAATTATTTTAGAAATATCTGCTGTTATTACAAAAATACCCCCTGTAGGGTCATGGTCAGCCAGCTCCCTTTCAATGCAAAAGGACCTGAGTTTGACTCCTGCCAGAGACAAGAAAATATAATAGTTTCCACAATGCAGTAACACGTCAGTATCTGTGGCTGGGGCAACAAAGAAGCTGACAAGGTTAAGAGTGGTGTGAGTAATGACATTTGTGCTATGGAAGTCTATGCTGCTGGGTACTTCAGTATCTTCTGGCTGGGTGAGGAAAGCAATGTCAAACTACCTCTCTTGACTGGGCTTGAAAAAAATTTCAAGCTACCTTTGAGAAACATTTGAAAATGTCTTTGAGGTTTCATGTACTCCTCAAAATCAAAATATCTCCTTCAAATTCAAAGGGGTGTCACATCAGCCAAGTCAATTGGAGAAAATCAATTTTGATGAATATCCTTACCCAGAACCATGATTTCAGGCTCTAATGTAAGTTCTAAGCCTCTTCATTACAATACTTTTTTTTTTTTTTTTTTTTTTATTTTAACAATAACTCTCGCAAAACAGCTGCAATCACTAATTTATTAATGTATAAAGAACAAAAAGAATTCAGAAAAGGACACACTATTCTTCAAATAATGGAGCCCATCACTGGTTAGAATGAAGTTCAATTACACTGTACTACAAATTGATGGATTTGTTTGCATGAACCTAATTTTCAAAAAATGTTTATTGGTTTAAGGTTATTCATTAAATAAAAGACAAAGGAAACAAAGTTACTTGAAATTTTAAAAAACTTCACTGAAATGCTAGGAAATAATATTACAGAAGATAGTTATAAACAAGTTAAGTACCAGTTCTGCTTTAGAGAAGATGAACAGAAAAATGTTGCAACAATCTTTGTGTGTGTGTGAACATTTCTTTCAAAACCCTCAGTGAGAGGGAATGTGAAGAAGATAGTGAGACATCCTCCTTGTAAGGGTTTCTTTAGATTTGGAAAGTGCTGACTCAGTGAAAATGCAGTAAATGCAAATTCAGAACTTTGTTTTGTTTCTCTGATTGCATGCGAATTGTGATGCATTAAAATGTTGATGTATGTTCTCTGTTTTTGGTTTTTGAATTTCAAAATAAACATGTAAATGCTCTTAACTGCAAAATAGAGGACATTTGTGTGGTGCTATTAATTAAGGAAACATTGGAAGAGAGTAAGCATGTAACCCACCAATGGGACAATTGTCAAAAGAATCAACAACACCCTGAAAAATGTTTGAAATATGTGTTATTCCATTGAGGTATTCTTCAATAATAATATTTTGACAACTAAACATGTAAAGAAGTACCTCTTTTTAGATATAATTTAATATTAATAAATATTCATATTCTTCCATCACAATGTAAATATCTTTCAATCTCTGCAATGAACATAAGTAACTTAACAATTCTTTGCCTTTTTTTTATTTATTAATGATTCAAATTGCAAAAAACCAAAAGAAAACTCATTAAAACAATTTCATTTAATGTTTAAAAATTTAATAAAAGTAACACCCACTCTGTTTCACATTTTCTTTTGTTTTCACATCAATCCTTCGTTTTAATCAAAATCCAACAAAATTCATTTGCAGCTAGACAAAATTCAGTAAAAATGTAAATTTTTAATCAAAGCATTCAAACAGTGAATGAAGGTAAGCAAAATAAAATTTAACATTAAAATTAAATTAAATTTTAAAAAAGTCATAAGAACATGCACAGTATCTAATACAATCATATATCTAATACAATCATTAGAGTGACAACATTACATACAATCTTTGGCTTAAAAGGTGGCTTCACCCTCCGCTGCTCCAAAGCATCCCAATCCATATCTCTGAAGAAAGAATGCTCTCGAATGGCTGCTTCTGTTCTTTGGGCTACTACACATCCCAACCGTTTTGCAGGGTTTTTTGTCATGAACTGTAATAACACACAAAGCATAATAAAAAATTGAGCAACACCAAACACTCTAGAATACAGACCATAAAATCTCCTCTATCAAAATTTACACTAAGAAGTGGTGATGGGTTTGACAGTTTGTCAGAAACCATCCGCATATGATCTGTAAGTGAATTATCGCTGGATAGGGAATTACCCCTGGTCCTGCGTCAAAGCAATTTAAGACTAAAAACAGAAGTTCACATTTTGTGGCAGACTTGGGAAATCAGGCAGTTATGCAACTCACAGCACACACTAAACTACAACACATAACATGTGTAACTCAGAAATGATGGATTCTAGTATTGTATCAGTGTAGTCTCTAATTATACAGTGACAGTTATGTGGCAGAAATCAATTTAGTTGCCATTAAGAACTTTAGGATCCATTTTATTTGTTTCATATCAGCTGACATGTTGTGCAATAATGGATTGTTGTACCAACTCGATACTATTACCTGGTGATATAGATATTCCACATTTCTGTCATTCCTTATTCTAAAGACATCTATTAGATGTATATTATCAAATGCTTTACTTAGAAAGCATAAGAATGCCAGGTTATTGAATTCTAGTGACTTTTCTATCAGCTGTCTAACTATGTATATTGCATCGTTACAGGATCTCCTTCTCCTGAATCCTTGTTGATGATCTTCCCACTCTATCATGCTGTACAGCTCATTCGCTAAATGTCTCATCGCTAATTTGAGTGTGGAACTTAGAAGACTTATTCCTCTGTAATTATTGGGGTTAAGTGTCTCTTCTTGAATAATGCTATGAGGATGCTTGTCTTCCAATCCTTGGGTATCTTAAGATCGTGCAATATCTTCATTAATTTAGTTATTTCTTTAGTTAATGTGTCTCCCCCAAACTTTAGGAGCTAATTGTATTCACTGTACTCCACAGGTGATTTACCATATTTCAATTTCTTAAATATCTCCTTTACCAGTTCTTTTGATATAGGGCATTCTGCATTCATGTTTCCTGTTTCTGCAAGGTCTATTACATTTCCAACTTATGGAATAACTCTTTAAAATACTCCACCCATATTTAGGTATTGTGTTATTCTTATATATTCAGTAGTTTCTGTTCTCATGATCCTAATGAACCTCCACATTTGAGAGGGATAAGTGATCTACCTAATTTGATATATTATGGTGATGATTGTGAAATTGTTTGCTATTGAGTTGCTTTGAGTCTGTATACGAAGGTCACTACTAAAGTTTTGAGATACCCAATAACTAAGAAAATTGAAATAATTTTGACAACTATATTTTTTCAAAATACTAACCATGATATTCTACACATTTTTGCATTCTTGTAAACCAATTTTGAAAACAGTTTTTCCATTTATTTTCCTCGAGTGCTAAAAGTTCACTTTTGTAGGCATCGACAGCTTCTTCAAAGCTTGAGAACCTTCTCAACAAGAACAAATAAATACAGTAGACTGACGCTTATTTTCAAGATCAAACTGATAAATCCACGTTTAGTCACCAGTAACTATGTCAGAAACATGCCTAGAGTTGCCTCTTTCCAATCTTTTCAACATTTCTTCACACTATTTCACATGGATGCACTTCTGTAATTCTGTCAAAGTGCGAGAAACCCATTGAGATGCAACTTTTCCGAGCCAAAGATATTCGTGCAGGACTTTGGAAACTGCCGGCGATCCAATCCGTAGGGACCCTTAATGTCCATAAATGTCACACAATTGTTTTCCTGCATCAAGTTTTCCACAGTGACAATGTTTTCTTCACTCACTGCAGCTGCTGGATGCCTGCACCTCTCCTCGTCTTTCCACAAAGTTTTGCCTCTTTCGAATACTTGAAACCATCGAAACATTGTCGCAAAGGAAGGTGCAATATACCTAAAGACCCTTTGCAAATGATCAAGGCATTCAGATTCGTTTAAACCACTTTTAAAGTCATAAAGAATCATTGCATGGAAGTGCTCTCTTGTCGGCTCCATTTAGACAACAACAGAATGCCGCATCAACAAAAAGAAGGGTAGGTCTTTTAGCAACAGTCAAAACCCAAGCAAGATCCGACTTGCATGTGTTACTCAGAGAGAACACTACAATCGATTCACTTTTTGGAAAGGTAATAATTGATCGCAACACAGTATATCTTAAAACTTCCACAGCAAGCCTCAAATGGACATGATTTTGATGTATCATTGATTGATCCTGACGTTCCTGCTGTTGAAAAAAACATCAATATTGGTGGCCTGGCTATAGCTGAATGTTTATAATTAATAAATTGCAGAATAATACAGAGGCTGGGCCTGATGGAATTTATCAAAAATTATTGTTATGTCAATTATCCGATACTTTATTGTATCTCTTCTAAGTCATTACATGAGGGCATATTCACAAGTCTGGAAAAAGAGTTTTATTACTAGTTCCAAGGGTGGTGACAGGCTGCATATCAAAAATTATAGACCTACATCAAATCTTGGTGTTATTCCAAACTTACTCCCTCCCCCCCGTTTTGAGTTGCATCAATGATAAAGTCATTAGTGACTTCAATCAAATACAATTAGAGAGACAATAACAAAAAAGTAAACAATTATGCTCTTTACATCAATTATTTATGTTTTTGAAACTTTGAACTTGTATTTCAGATACAACATTAATAATTTTACAGAATTTAATTATTAGCTCTTGGTGCACAGAGTAAAGCAACAGTACATTAGCATTCAAAGCTTGAAAGATATCTCTTTGCTGTAAGAAATTTTAGCACATCAATTAATGATATAAATGAAGTTCAGCATCCAGTTACAAAAATCAGAGGTATGGGCTGGCATCAAAATGGCTGCTGCTTCCTTTGAATTCTTTCCACGCGCTATTCCATTTTATTTTCATAAAAGTCCCAACACTCTGCAGATTATCAGTTATAGCGTAGGAAGGGTTATGGACCTTCTTTATCTTCAGATTAATAACTGCAGATTTACTCCCATTGTCCATGACTTGTGATTCTAGTTCAGGTGGAATCCATGGAAAAGTGAGATTTTTCTTTAATGTGCAAATTTCAAAAATCAGATCTTGAGTAATAGAGCCATTTCAGGTTTAATACTTCTATTGACTTTACAAATCATTGGGAAAATATGATGAAATTAGTAGAGTGAATTTGCTTAATAAATTTGAGAGCAGACATTAGAGCATACACTTTGCAGAATTATGCAAGTTGATATTTAATGATTTTGTCTTTTTTGTTATTCAAACCAAATTCTCATAGATGAAAAACATGGTTTCAGAATCTTCATAATCATTGAAAACTTTACTATAGATAAATTTGATTGATTTTTAAAGGTACATGTAATTTTCACTTTTCAGGCAAACGGTTTAGGCACTAGCATTGTTCACAGATGAACAGACAGACATTTTTTTGCAGTGAATCGATTTTTCGTTATCAAGGACCCACAAAACTTGGATTCTCACTACACCACAAATTAAGGAAGTAGTTTACAATTTACAGCAACTGAATTTATCAATTTTTTCATGACCAGGGGCCAGCAATAAAGGGTTTTTATTCAGAATCAACATTATTATACTATTGACATGATTTTTGCATCGAGTAATAACTTCAAAGATTACTGATTAAGAAAATACAGAATTTGCAATACTTTCTTTTTTCTAGATTTGAAAGTTCTTAAAACATTTAACCCATCTGATTTATCAGATGTCATGCAACCATAACACTTGTGAAACTTTCTCATGCACACATGACATTCTTTTATTTTCAGCCTCTCCATTAAAGCAATTGTCACATAGCTGAAGATAAGTGATTGTGATAGGTACGGAATTATACTAAAATACTTGTTTTTCAGTCTGATTCAAACTCTCAATACTTAAGTCACAAAATCAAGCTACAGGAGGCATGGACAGAACGCACCAGACTGTAGCGACAAACACATCAATAATTAGAGAAAGTGGTGATGGGCAACTTTTGCTTACTTTGTGGACGCCTCTTTAGTACTTATAAGTGCAAGGTTGATTTACCAAAAAAATAACACACGCAATGTCATCACTGGATGTGCTATCTGTAGACTTTAATCTTGCTGCCCTCAATTCGTATAAAGTTGCAAAGTTTTCTGTCTTTGACGTCTGCAACTTAAAATGTTCATCAAGGCCAGGATATGCCTGCCCATGAACTCTGCTGGTGCAATTCAAGTGTCCCCTACGTGTAGTGTCTGCTGAATCAGACAGCAGACTTTTCAAAAACTATAAATAAAAAATAAAAAAAATCTGAGCATTGATTCATGATAAATTAACATAATTAACACTACTACTAACACATATTTAAAAATATTTCATAAAACAACTTTACTTTTGCACAAATAGATTAAAACCACCATTAATGGAGGGGACTTCTGATTCTTTTTCCAGCCTAGAGACTTTATGTTTGGATAAAGAGGTCTTCTGATGTTTAAGGATTGTTTTAAGGCTCTGATCGCGGTTTGCTCTTTCTTTTTGAATTATTAGTTCCCGTACCTTGTAGAAAAAAAATTATTTTTTCCACACAGTTCTATCTTCTACTTCCAATATAATTTCTTGAACATTTGGCTCATACTATTTTTTATGTTCTTGTTTCTTGTTATGTCAAGTTATCTGCCATGGATTTTAATTCTTCTGAGGTTTTAAAATCCCTTGTTTATATCTTTTCTTCAACTCCAGCATGTTGGGTTGGTCTGCATTTATGACCTCTTTTTCACCTTCTTTCTAAGTTTTTTTGACATAACTTGCATTACACTATAGCACATCACTGTTATTCCTAGTTTTTTCACGGGTTTGCACCCTCTCTTTTATTTCTTCAATAAATTAATATGGTCTTGGTGTATTTTATAGCAAAAATCCATGCATAAATAGGGAAGTATTCTGCTTTTCAGTTGTAATTTGGAAATGTAAAGTGATGTGTGTCCACATTTACTAGGCAAATAAATAAATGGAGCAAAATCTTCTGATTCTTCCAGTCTTTTCTGTGCCTCACAAAGAGAATATAAATAAAGAAGACACAGGATTGGCAATTTGGAGATCCATGAAATCAGGCTTGGCAGAGACTGTATTCAAAAACGAAATATATGTAGAACAGAATACACATCAGAAAACCCTTCAAGAAACTAAATCGGAAGTAGACATTTATAATCAGAGAGATGGAAGAAGAGATTTGTAGGCAATTTTCTCAAAATAATTTAATTACATGTGAATCGCTCCCACTATGAATATGCTAATATTCTGACCAGCATCTTTATTCCCACCATTCATGTATCGATTTCTGCTCATCAACTTACCTTCCTTGTTCAAAGTGATGTTGCAATATGTGAAATATCAGTGATGCTCCTTCAGCATGATTGCATCACGTGTTCAAGGTGAGCCAATCATGTGACATGAGAGCAAGCATAGCACCAAGAAGCCATGCCCCAAGTCAGTCAGTTCTCCTATCACACAAGGTCTGTCCTTAAGGCTATTTTATATACAGAAATTTTGAAATAGGAATTTTTGACCGTATCCAGAAACTGAACTTTTTGATTTATACTTTCTCTTTTCTACACACATATTGTAACAAAAATATTACAGTATCCACACTTCAGTCTATAATGAAAATAATTTAATACTTCTTTTAACGGACAAAGAAAATTTCAAAATAAATTTATGTATTGGGCTAAAATTCTAAATATTACAATATGTTCATACTCACTCCTTTCAGAATTGAAACTGCCTCCTTACTAAGCCAAACAGGATACAAAACATCATCATGAAGAATAGATTCAAATAAGTCATCCTCATTGTCAGCTTCAAAAGGAGGCTGGCCAGCCATCATTTCATACATGAGTACCCCCAAAGCCCACCAGTCAACACTAGGCCCATAGTCCAGTTCTTGAAGGATCTGTAAAAGAACATTATTAAAAGCATTTGTGAATAAAGTCTCAGAAAATGCTAGAATGTATATTGAAACTTTTACACACTCAAAATCCATATTATGCAAAATAGCATCATAGTATTTTTAATCCATCTCTTGGTAATGCTTTTGTAACAAATTGCTATATAAATAAATCCATCAATGGATTTACCCATGGACTTTGTATTATATTAAATAAAATGTATGATCAATATATCAGCAGAGAAAGAACCTTATTTACTACTTATATTACTATTATAATGCCCTCTCACTAGCCACAAATTGTTACAATGTACTTTGATGATTCCAATTATACAAGCTCAGGTTTTAAAATTAATGTGTTCTTTTAAATGCGTAAATAAATAGACTCATAAGTATGTTTTCAAACATCTGATATAATTATACATCATAATCAAGATTAATGTTATAAGGGTCTAATGATTTCTCACATAATATTAAATCAATCTTTGTAAATAAACTTCAGAAGGATCTGTGGGTCACTGCAAGACAACTACCAATGAAATTCCCAGAGATACCGTTGGTTCCTTAGGTCTCTGGTCCAAGGTTCGAAATAACAGTAAACTTTCTTATAAAGATCTCTTATTAATGAAACTTTTTGAACAGCTTACAAATTCATAAGGTTCTGCCAATATTCTACTCAGTTGTGTGTGTTTTTCTCTATGTAATAAATGTAAGCCTCTTATTTAGCATTGTTTTCAGTCACCCTAAATATGCAGCAAACAAGTACCTCTACAATATAAAACTTCCTTGCAAGTTTCAATTCCCTGGCATTCTCTGAATGTTTTCCTTGGAAGAGTACTGAAAATTGCTTTTGAGATTGCATGCTGGGAGTATGGGGAAAGTAATGCAACCTTGAATAAACACTTTATAAACAGCACTGGTAGAAGAATGCACAGAAGCCAAGCAAGATTTGTTTGGATGCACTGTGCAGGACCTCCTTATGGATGTAAAGCAGACAATGGATGAGTCACAAATATTGGCTTCAATTAGTTGGATATATAAAACATTGTTCCTTTTGTTTCCTTGCTCTGTTTGCGGGTAATCCCCAAATGACACGTGCCGATCACAGAAATTGGTGCCAGTGTGGCAGACAGTGGCTTGCCAAACAACTATTTAAAACCACTTGTAATGTGGCAACTTCACTTAGTAGTTACATGTCAGTACCAACAATCTGCTTGAGAACCACAATGACCAACTGCATGGGAAGTCAATCAAGCATGCAATATGTCAGAGTTATTTAGCAATGCCAGTAAAAATTTATTTATTTAATAAAATTAACGGGTGATACCCTTTACGTAGTAAAAATAATTAACAGAGTAAAGCATGCGTAGATACGTATAAAATATCTAAAAGATCTCATAGGCAGAAAGTAGTACAAACATAAGCGCAAAAGGATAAAAATAAAAGTAAATGCAAGCTTACAAATTTCACATAATGAGAACAAATTAAGATGTCTATTCAACAAAAATTTAAAGGCATTATTTCCAGTTGTCAAAAAAAATATCATAGTCGGTGCCCAATCTATTCGCCAAACCTCAAACGCAATTCATTATCTCATTAGTACAAAAGTTACTCGCAGAAGTGTCAACTAAAAAGGCAGTCTTTCTCCTAAAGATTCGCTTTGGTAAGCAAGAAAGAATGTCTGCGCAGTCTATTCTATCCATCAAAATATTACAATTAAAAATATTAATTTTTTTCAAAATTATGGGTGTGCAGCAATTAATAAACTAAAACTCAAAAACATAGTAAAAATCAGAGAGTTCTTTCCAGATTATTTGTAAAATAAATATCTGTCATAGTAAATTATGTTTTAAGTGTAAAGTCATACATTAAATATAATTTTTATACTACTGTCTTTATAAAGAATCTCTAATTAACAAACTTCCCATATGTTGGTTCACTGGAATTCATTAATTAGAGAATTTACTGTAATCTGCCCTTGTCAACTCTCATCTTATGTCCTTAAACATTTTGTACAACATAATAAATTTGTGTTGCAATTATTTGTTGTTTTTCCTGCATAATATATTCTCTCTGGGAAAACTCAATCTCTTGAAATTATGGACAAACACTGCAAAAGAAGAAGAGACTTAATGGAAAGGAAGGAAATTATATTCAAATGTGCTATCAACAATGCCTATTGTATGAAGTCTTATCGTGGCCTTCTACTTATTTGGTTCAGATCAGTCGACTGGTTTCTTATTGTTGACTCATTTAATGCAAGTAGTTGCTTGTTTGCCTCGACACGAGATGGAACTGTCTAGGGAGCACTTTTGGACAATGATTTTCTATGATTTTAAGGTTGGTCTAAGTCTTGAACGGCTGAGGAGTGCATTCCGTGATTCTTCCCCGTCAAAATTGACTGCTTGTGAATGGTATTCAGAATTTTGTCCGGGGAGAAAGTCATTTAAAGATGAGCCTCGCATGGGATAATCACAGAAAGCAATGACAGAAGAAAACATCTCTGTGCAGATGATGTTCAAGGATAACCCATGCACTTACCCGCAGATATGGCAGACCTTGGGTTTTGGTTCCTCTGCAGTGTCATGAATTTTGCATTAAAACCATGGTGTCAGGAAGGTCAGCAGCTGAGAGATTGTTCATCTCAAGAACAAAAAGCATGTTGTGTGAATCAGTGTAAAGAAATGTTGCAAAAGTTTGAAGAAGCATGTGCAAAGCAAATTTTTGATATTGTAACTGGAGGTGAATCTTTGATATACCTATTTGATCCAGCAACTTAAAGACCATCAACAATCTGGATCTTCCCTGACAAGAGACCACAAACACAGACCAAGAGATCGCAGAGCATTTGAAAGAAATGGTTTGTTCCTTCCTTTCAGCCAGTGGTCATGTAGTAACAGTTGCATTTGAGGACCAAAGGACAGTGAGAACACCCTGGTACACAACTGTTTGTCTCAAAAAAGTCTTCGAGAGCATTCAGAAGAGAAGACCAAAGAGAGGTGTGCGTGGTCTGCTTTTGCATCATGACAACACCCAGCTCACACAGGTCAAAAAAACAAAAAAAAAATTTATGAGAGTCAGACTTCTACAGCACCCCCCTCCTGCAAACACCTCGCCCCTTGCGACTTCTTTTTATTTCCAAAAGCTAAAGAAACAATCAGAGGACGCCAGTTTGAGATCCGAGAATATGCAGTACGAAGCATTTCTAACAGAGCTTCTGAAAGAACAATGGCATGCAGCTTTTCAATAATGGTTTTAGAGGATGGCCCGCTGTATAGAAGCTAGAGGAGAAATACTTCGCGAAAATATAATGAAGAAACAGTTTCCTCTTCTTTACACCTACTTTTTCAGAAAATTTCAGAGTGCCCCTCCTAACAATTTTCTTCTTGCATGGTGGATAAAATACAACAATTAATTCTCTTTTATAATTTATTAAACAACCAGCTGAAATATACAACATTGCCCAGATATTTATTAAGCACTACCTTCTATAAGACAGGAAAACGAATGAATTCAAGAACACTGCAACATCGCTTTTACGTTTTCCTGTGTTCATATTGTTATTATAATTTTCATACTTTTCGTATGTTCATAATGTTAAATTATTCCAGCTTTTACATTTTCAAAATTAAATTTTCCCGCCGTTTGCACTTTTTGAAGCCATCAAGGATCTGTAATGCCATTTTTTACATAATATTTTAAATATCTCTCGCAGTATTTTCTCTTGCAATGAAATTTATCTCATTAGCTTCAAATTCTAGCCTTGTTTGGAGATCATTCACGGTGGAAAGAGGTCTCTTCTCACTCGTTCATTCGCTCTGGTACAGTTGTAGTGTAGTGTGCTCCTCGTTATAACATCAGAAGAGTATCAAAGCCAAAGTAACGTAGCCAAGGTATCGTAGTTTTGTGCTTTTTGAGAAAGTTTTAATTTTAATAGTTATTAATTTTGCCTTTTAATGGATTTAAAAAGAAAGGGAATGAGTCTTTCTATTCAAGAAAAATCCAAAATTCTAGAGGAAGGCGTCTAATGGCTGGCTTGAACAGTTAACTTAAGCTTACTGTAATGTTAGGAGCAAATGTTGATGGGTCTGAAAAGCTTTACCCATTTGCTATAGTAAAGTCGAAGAAACCTTGATGCTTCAAGAATGTGAAAACATTGCCCACAAAATAATAAGCTAATGAAAAAGCTCGAATGACTTCCTGCCTAATTGAGAGGCAAATGTATGCTCTTGATGTGAAGATAGGAGCGCAGAACTCAAAAATTCTTTTATTTGTCGATCAGTGCTCTGCACATCCAAAAAAAATGAACTTCAGAAATATTAGAATTGAATTCTTGCCAGAAAACTGCGCAAGCAAGTTACAACCAATGAATTTAGGAATAACCCAAGCTTTTTAGACCTAGTGCAGAGATTATTAGGTTGGATGGAGTCACGGAAGGATACAATGACTTTCAAAATATCTATCCTCAATGCACTTCATTATACTGCAAAGGCATGGAAGGATGTTTGTGAATCCACCATATGTAATCATTCCAGAAAAGCCTCATGGGCTTCTTCCAAACCCATGAGGAAGTAAGTGAAGAAGAAGACAGTGAGATGTATGAGAGAAATTGAGAATAGATTATGAAGTTAATGACTTCCTACATTTTGATGATGAACTCGCAACTGTGCAAACAGTGTCGGTAGAAACTTTGAGCAATTCAGTTCAAGACGAAAGTGACAGTGATAGTGATAACAATAATGGTGATAGTAGCGTGCCTAATTGTGCAGAAGTTTCTGCAATAAACACCATGAAAAAAATATTTCTGGAGCAGATGGTGATGTTAATAGTTTTGACCATGTGTATGAACTTGAAAAGCAAGTTCAAAGAATTCACGAGAAGAAGGCAAAACAATTGTCTATATTAGAATTTTTGAACAAAATATTAGAATTTTTGTATTTTGGTAAAATGTATATTAATGTTTAAATATTTAATAAAAGTGGATGGTAAATCTCCAGTATTTTATTACATGTCCAAAAGTGGTTTCCCACAATTTACACCATTCTTTGTGGTCCCTTGAAAAGTGTAAAAGAGGGGTTCTACTGTATAATTTTTTCCCGTCCTATCCTGCCTTGTGCGGTCCCCATCTCACCTTGGTCCATCCCATCCAACCAGCTTTACCTTTTTCTTTCTCACTCTGTCCACACCGCCTGGTCTCACCCTTGCCTGTCTCAACCTGCCATATTTATGACAACCACGGTTGCCATCACCATTGCTTTGGTAGTTGTAAACATTGTGTTGCACACACCTAGCAAACTTTCTTGAGCCAATTTTTCAAAGCCTAATTAAACTATCGATATAAATAAAAAAAAATTGTAGAATATTTTCGACGTTCAGAAATCATTTTAATGGATTGTTATTTTGTGAATATTCTTGCAAACCTTACTTTTGAATTTGCAGGATAAATAAAAAGTTCAGAAAACCATTTATTCTATACTTCAGAATGTATTACTCTAGTTTGAAAAGAAAAAAATAGGAATGACAAAACAAGGCAGACAAGAATAAATAGGATAAACAGAAAAGGAAAGAAAAAACAAAGAGGGAGGAGGAACAACAGAAGAAATGAGAGATGGGGAAAGAGAAAGATTGTTGGAGGAGAAAGAAAGGCTCTGAAGAAGAAAACAAAGATAAAGAAGAGGAAGATGATCGGAGATAAAATACAAAAAACAAAAGAGAATGACAAAAAAAAGAGAGATTTACACAGAAATATAATTTGTTTTCACTAAAACACATCAAACTGTCAGCAGTACTCACAGAATGTGCTTGGAGATAAAGAATGTAAACTGTGTGGCACATTTTCTAGGGACAGTGTTGATAAAACGCAATCCGTCATTCATGCATAATCGGCATCTTTACCTTTCTTTTCCTTCTTCAGTTATTCTTTTTGTAAATTATCTTATGGGCTAATGATTTAAGATCGAAAAGGAACAAAAGTTGCTATTAATAAAATGACTGTGTACCTCAGGAGCTATGTAATCAGGAGTGCCACAAAATGTTGTGGTGGTAGCACCATCAGCAATACCTTCTTTACACATTCCGAAGTCAGCCAGTTTACAATGGCCCTCATGGTCCAAAAGAATATTATCCAGCTTCAGATCTCTGTAAGAAAACAGGTTGTTATGAAATAATAATAATAATAATAATAATAATAATAATAATAATAATAATAATAATAATAATAATAATTATTATTATTATTATTATTATTATTATTATTATTTTAAGTCGCGTAAACTACAAAGGTCATGAGCGACTATTACAATATGAGTGTTTTTGAAAGACTATCCTTCATACCTGTATACTACACCATTTCTGTGTAGAAACTGCAAAGCCAAAGTCACCTCAGCAGCATAGAATCTTGCCCTTGGCTCATCAAATTTCCGAGCCTTCTGAATTTGGAACATAAGATCACCTCCATCCACATACTCCATAACAAAAAACAAACGATCCTAAATAACACAAAATATATTATAAACAAGAAAAACTTTTCACAGAGAAAGATTTTGCTAAAACAACAGTAAAGTTGTAAAAGGTAACAACTCAAATCCTGTTTTGACATATTGATATGTTAAAATTTAATATCACTCAAAAACTGTCAGTTTCTTCTTTTTGAAATTTATTATTAACTTTATACCATGCCATAAATTTCAAACCTACATGATGAAAACTGATATTTTCACTGAGTTATCAAGTTTTAAAATGGCAATTTCTCAAAAATTAGAATTCTGAGTAGTTGCTTTTTGGAACTGGACTGTTGAAATTTTCTCTTGACAAATAACAATAGAAAAGCTCTACAATATTTATAGTAGCAAGAGTTAAAAAGAAACAAATGACAAATTTTTGAAAATGATATATTAAATTAAATATATGATAATGTTTAATTAAATAGTCAATATAATAACCAGACATACAGTGAAACACTGCTACAATAAGTTCCCTATGAAAGCATTCAATTTAATTTCCAACTTAAACTTAGTTTATCACCAAGTCCTAAACATAATTGCATGTTAATGAAAATGTGAAAAAATAGATGAATTCCATTGTATAACTTAAAATGTAACACAACAATTTTATGGAGAGTAATTATGTGCATAGAGGCCAGATAATTATGAAACAAATCTAATAAAATATCCCCTCTGTATAAGTATAGTGCTTTAAGGGAAGACAGCAGTTTTGTGTGATTTATATGAAGCTATCAAAATAAAATCCTGCAAAAATTGCTACTGCTGGATATAGGATTACCCCCTCTCCAGATTTAAGACTAAAATTTGGAATTTTGCAGATTGTGATACAAGCAAGCGCACATGCAACCTGGAACACAAGTTATAATTCTGAATAACTTGAAAATTGTGGCTTAGGTCATCACTTGGTTTTTGTGTCCCCACAGCAACACAAGTCATGTTTATGTTGTAATGTTTATATTATATAATGTGAGACCTTTTTGAACATTATGTTACATTTTTTGAGGGTACCCTTACTCTGAAACACGGGGAGGCAGAACATTTGAAGTTATGTTCAAACATTACTGGTGTTTCAAGGTTGAGTTCCAGTTTCTATTGTAAAACGTTTCTCAAACACACACCGGCAAAGGTATAAGCAATGATACAAACTTGAGGATCAGCTGTGGCTTTACTAATGACCAAGCAAAGATTTTGGAAGAGATGATATAAAAGAATTTTGTCCTTGGATGTATGAATTAAATTGTTTGCCCTCAACCTGGGTTGTGTTGTTTTCAAAACTCATTCTGTGAATCCTGATCTCCTTAGTCATATGATTACATTAAGTTTAATGATCATTGTAATATCTGATGATCAGCGAGTTGGTCTTCTTATAGTGAATGAAGTGTAAAATGTTGCAGGCTCACTGTGCATTTGCGTTGCTCTGGTAGGTGTGTATTACAGCAGTAATAATGCTGTTACTCAGATTCCCCCAATGGTGATAAATGTATTGGCTGTTGTGAAAATGCATTGCTTATAGCTTCAAAATTGGCTCGCAAAGAATTTCTTCTTTTGTCAGGAGATCGACGGTGATCTTACAAATTGATTCGAAAGTCAAGAAGTAAGACTGTATGATGCCAAGGGAGCACCATTGTAGAGGAAGTACGAAGTACTTGACTTTTAATAGTAAATATGAAGCCCAGGGCATAGTCTCTTTCTGATTCTTGTAATATCAATGATCAGCTAAACAAATCAAACAAAACTTTCTTTTTTTCTTTTTGTTTTTGTAATTAATGGATGATACTGAGATAACGGCATTAGAAGTTGTTGAGGCCATCAGAGAGTTGAGAAACTGAAATCTCCAAAAATAAGGGTAGATATAGTAGAAATAAGTTTATATTGTTTACAGTAAGCATCATCAAAGCAGTCGGTAGGCACAGAGAACATATGTTAGTTATCACATTCAAAAAAGAGAGGCCTATATGTAGAACAAAGTAAAAACTGGAAGTCTTGTATGTTTATTTGATGTCATAAAGATTTGATATTTTCACTTTGCAGCTCTAGCTGAGGTGTGTGTGGTAAAATGCTTCCTGGTCCAAAGGTATTCTTGCCTGCTTTCATTCATCTCCAGGGGTTTGTGTTGACAGCCCACAATTTTTGGCATATTTGGCATTTATTATTTCTACACCTTATGGTGGTATCTGGATCATCTCTCTGACAAGTCATCAACACAGCAACCTGAACTGGTATACTGTACTGCAAGCACTTCAGATGACCTTCGAACTTACCATGCACACCCTTATCATGCATGATATACTACCCCCCTCTCATAGGCTTATAATACAAGAATTTATGTTACTAGCTGAACTCATGCAAATATACTTAATTTACAAAATACCATCAAACCTAACCTCACCCTATCTTAGTTGACACTTTGCTACATATTTCTGAGTTGGCAATGAAACTGATCTTTATGATGCATATAAAATATCCTTTTCTGTGCAACGAATAATTTCCAATATGATTTTATACTTCTTGTAAAGACATAAGGTGCCTAACACTTCAACAAAAGCCTAACTTTAGTCAGCAACACAAGGCTGATACCACCATTAGAGAGGAGAAGAACAAAATTATCCACTCATCGGTAAACATACAGCTTTATCCACATTGTCTAACTAATACACATTTTAACTGAGCATTCCCAACATTAGCCAAACTTCAGCCTTTAATTATGATATACCCTCAGAATCAATTTTTGAAACATGAACTCAGGGTAAGAAGTTGAATGAAATTATGTATTATTTTAAAAACCTGAACCGGATCATTTGATTATAATTTCGGCAATGTATTTAATGCATAAATAGTGGTTTTGGTCTCATTATTGAAGTGGTTTTAATGGTTTCACTAAAGTCGCCTTGGCAATTTCTTACATTAATTTAAACAGACTACATTTAGCTACACCATGAGATCTCTAGCATTGTCTTGGTAAATCTCCTTCAAATTTCTTTGGAAGTGTACAGGAACATTTGTGGAAAAAAACAATGCATCAGCTCACTTACATATGGTCTCCTTTGTTTTGAAAAGTTGGACAAAACTGTACTCGAAACAAAAGAAATGCATTTAATCAGGCCAAGTCCAGAATATAAAAAAGAAATGATCACATACTGGTTTGATTCTTTGTGGTGTAGTTTTTATCTATTTCATGTACAGATCTACTTCAGTACACCACTGACTTCATGAAAATCAAATACTGTGCTTTTCAATGAGCTACCTCGTGACAGCTAGAATTTCATCCTAGTCTGATTGTACAGATCCAACAAATGTAAGATAAAATTCTTGTAAATGATAGACACTTAAAATTTACATTCATAAATACGTTTCCCAGTTTTAAGTAAAAATATTTTCCCGAGTCACACATACCAATGTAGTGCAGAAGCAAGATAACTTTCAAATTTTAACATCTGCACAATGTACCCTTTGGTTGCCAGTCCATGATTCACGGCTAATAATAATATACAGAAATATTGAAAAACTTATGCAAAACCATTAATGATTAACCCAACAAGCAAGTGCGAAACCATGTGATGCACATACTTTTCAAAGGAATTTTCAGCGTAGTAGTAAATGTGTAGATCTGATTTTAGCCCGCAGATGGTATTGCTACATACTCTCAATGCTTTGATTGCAGAAGTCTGTGCAGGTTTTCCACCTTTACTTTTGTATTTATAATACTTAATGATTGGGTATATAACGTTTTGAGACTGAGAGGTGTGTTTTGGAATGCAAAGTCTTAGTAATGATGAGGTTCGTTTGCTTTGCAGTGAAAGGGAATATGAAGATGAAGAATTTGATTTACCATCAGATAAGTATTTGTATGTAATTACTGCTGTACATTTCAAAAGATATACAACTCACAAAAAGTTTCATTTTTATTACTATTATTTGCTAATTTTTGCTATTATTAAGTTGGTGTCTTAAATTAAAAAAACAAAATTCCCTGTCTTAATTGTATTTTATTGGAAGTCTAGAATCATTTGTAATACAGTTTTATAAATACAGTGATATCAGCATTTAGAGGCAGTGTCATACGGGGTACCCAGTGTCCAGGTAAGTAATGTCTGAAGGGTTAAGGTGTCTCACAGACCTCTTAGACCTACAGGCTGCATTTCTTGGATTATCACAACTTGGATTTAGGTCATGAATTATAAAATAACTATTGCAGACTGTTGCAGCAGCCTTCTAAGCAGACAATGAGAAAATAGGCACTTACTTTAGTCTGAAAACAGGAGTGAAGAGCAGTGAGGAATGGGTGCTTGGCTGCTAATGCCAGAATGCGTTTTTCTGTCATAGTGCAGTCAACATCATCATCCTGTATAATAACATCCTTTTTCAGCACCTTTACAGCATACACCTCTTCTGTGCCCTTTCGCTCTGCTAGCATCACCTTTCCAAAGCTGCCCTTGCCAAGCACTTTAATGAAATGGAAGTCTTCCAGGCCCATATGCTTCTCCCCACGGCCACAAGGCTCTCCAGCAATACCTTTTCCAGCTGGAAAAATAATAAACGTGAGGCCTGACCCCGCGGACGGGGTCGTACAGGGCAAACAGAGAACACTACAGAGAAACTGAGCACCTTTGTCTGCAGCCTCTGCGTCAGCACCCTTGTCTTCAGGCTGTGAGAGAAGCTGCAGGTTATTCTCACCGTCCTCATCCGCCTGTGAGCCAGCTCCAGCGGAAGCCTCAGCACTCTTATCCTCCAAGGTTGATTGTGTAGAACTGCATGACATACTGTTTTTGTCTCCTGTTGGACCAGAGATATTTCCCTGGAAGAGAATTGTAAACATTTAGAAAGTACTACAGTTTAATTACCAAAAAAATGCTTTCAGATATTATTTTTAGTAAAAGAATTTTAGCTCATATTTGGGTCCACCTATGGACTTACAACATACGGAAGTAAATAAAAAATATTTGGAACCCCTAAGGGTAATGAACAAAAATTGACAAGATAAGTGTGTAATTCACTGCATGAAATATTTCCTTGAAATGTGCATTGTGTATATGATAAGTACTGAATATCAGCAAAAGTTAACCTTTATTTAATAAAAAAAAAAGTTTTAAAAAACCTTAATCTTTTTCAAGTTAATTCTTATCTCCTAGAGTGAATAATAATCTTAATTATATGAAATTTATATTTTAAATACTGTCCACATTTGTGAAATTTGTTTTTGCAAATACATGAAACCAAACACTGAAAGAAAAAGAGAAATTTGAAGTATTAATTTAAAATAGATAAATATAATCTACACTATTGAGATTGTCCAAGATAATTATTTTATTTTTGTAAGTTTCCACGTATGCAGGACAAACAGGATTTTTAAAAACATTACTAATGAAAATGTTTTTATTACTTTTGTAGTATGTCTGTTTATTCACATTTTGAAGAACGTTGGGTCTTCTTCATCAGGCAGCAATTGATACTTTTTGAAAATTCGGCATGTCATCATGACGTGAATGTTTATTTAAGGACCCAAATTGGTTACTATTTCAAACAGCATCAAATAAGAATTTTGCACAAAAGTTTCACCAAATTTTATTCTTTTTTTTTCATTTCCCATCAAATTCACAGAATTTTGAAAGTAGTGAATGATGCTTGTTGTTGAAGACACATAATCTTTGAAATGTGATTATATAGACATACTACAAGAATAATTTTAAAAAATTCTTTAATGTTAAAAAATCCTGATTGTCTCATATAAGTGGAAACTTCCAAATATAAAATAGATAAATATATCCCTTTTGAAGAATAATCTAATGTAATTTAAACTAATCCACATAAAAAGGTACATAAAAAACACACATACACAATAATAACACAAGAACCCCCATGGCTTAATGACAAAAAATATAGAAAATAACTAGTAGATTTTGTCAATTTCAAAAATGAATGTCAATGCAAATTTAGATTCTCATAAAATAATATCTTGTCTTTATTTAACCAAATCTTGGAATGTTATTTCAATTATGTATTTATACCAACCTTGCTTCTAGGGGCCAGTTTATCAGTAGTAATGCCCAATGTAGCCAGTGTCTCAGCCATCTGCTTAGTATCAATTCCACAATTGTTGGCCACATTTTTCTGGCAGCGTTTGTGAATATTCATGCTACAAACTGAAATAAGATATTACATTTGGAAATTAACTACCCCAATATAAAAATTCTATGGAAATAGATTATTGGTAATGATTATGATGATGCAACTAACCTTCACATTGAAGACCCTGGCGAATAAGGCCATAAAGTAATGAACCACAATGATCACAAAACGTGAAACGTCTATATGTATGCAGTTCAAACCGATGGGGGATGTTAACACTGAAGCGTTGACCCTGTGTGCCTAGATTTTGCTGAAAAAAAAAAAACATATTGAATTCACAATGAATTATTTATGTAACAAGAGCTCTAAAAGGAAAACCCTTTTTTTTTGTAAACAACCAATTAATACCCAAAAAAACTCTGGAGAAAATTCCCATTACATTGAACTAAGTGAGAATCATACTGAGGTTAATATTAAGTTAACGTGGAAATACTAATAACTTGTAATTAATAACCATTTCTCAAGGGTTATAGATAGTGTACTAGCTTTCCTTTAAAATCGTCTTAATTCCTGTAGCTGTGTGACAAAGAAAAGCTCAAGCAAGACTACTTTTCTAGTTACAGTGAAAGGAATATGTCATGTTCACCAAGTGACTCTCTTGCCCCACAAGCGTGAAAATAAAACTTGGTCCAGACACAGGGGGCACTGTTAACTAGGAAGCTAAGTTGGACAATCAACCCGAAAATTCCAAATACATGCATACATTAATGAACCTATCAAAAAAATATGTTAAAATGTAATTATTCTTTATAGGATTAATGTATTTAATGGTAGAAAATAGTCTCCCTTTTAATCCATCTTCCTTACCTCATAAGAATTGTCCTTCATTCCAGGGCATTTTGTAACCACAGACTGATGGCATCTTTTGTGCACAACAACAGTGCATACTGAAACAAACAGTACACACATGAGTATTTGCAAAAACATGTAGAAATGTTTGCAAACCTATTAACTAGATACACACCTTGGCATTGATATCCTTGCTTACCCAATCCCCTACAACACACAAAATAAAATTAGAAACATTTTAGCTTTCAAACTGCATGAATCAGAAAACATTAACATATTATTTCACATTACATTTCTTCAGCCAACGATGAAAAAATTGCTTCAATCATAACTTACAATTTATCTTTAACTACTCATTGAAACATTTACTGTACATTTGCTTAAACAAGTTTTTATTAAATATTGAAAATAACCCTCTCCCTGATTTTTCCTTGTAACTGAGACAAAGTTATCAGGAGCAACAAATAGTATCATTCCCCCTCCCCCTCCGTCTCACACTCTTGCATCATAGAAATATTTAACTTAAAATCTTAACTCTTTATTGCCCTACTCACCAAATAAATTCACGGCAGTGTGAGCAGAAAGTTGGCTGACGGAGGAATGTGGCCATAAATTTGTGTCCATGAACTTGGTGGACCCGCCGGCGCATGGCCCCACGCCGGCGGTTGAAGCCCTGGCGCTCCTTGAATTCCCTTGGTTTTGAAGGTTGGACCTCTGCAAAAGTTCAAATGTTTACATTAGGTAAAACATGGAATAATACACAATGATTCTTGTCTCTTAGATATTGATTAAAATTTAAAGCAATACTGGATATTGCTTTTATTTAAACTAATTTATTTTTTGATATCTAATCTTTCAGGTTCTTAAAATTACTTTTAATTAATTTCATTCAACATTAATGATTAAAGAAAGGCAGACTGACAGACATGTGAAATATAGAATTAGAAACTAGACAAAGCTTATATATTTCTTTGCAGGGTGATACTTTGAAAATATTTGCTTAAAATGACAGGAAAGATTTATTTATATATTTACAATACAAAAAATAGGCAGATCTAATAATGTCCGCGATCATTACATAACTCAAGTTACAGGTGTCAAAAATGTTTACAATATTACAAACTTTTCCAATCTCCAATAAACATCTCAATAGAACAAACAATTATGATGCATTAATTGAATTGTGTTCCAAAAAGAAACGTATTCCTTATTCCTGCATTCAGAGTTTTCACAACCACAAATGACATGAAGAGGAAGAAACTAAATTCACATCAAAAATTGATATTTTATAATGGATTTCAAAACAAATATTGATATGAATTGAAGATTGTAAGAAATTACTGGAAATCAAAATCTGCATTTTCTCAATGAAAAGAATCGTCTATACAATGAATATCAAACCTGAATTGCCATTCAAATAATAAAGATATTAACTGAAATGTACAAAAATTAAAATATATCAAACTTTATATATGTACTTGACATACCTTGACCTTGGGTCTTCCATTTCAGGTCAATACGTATATGCAATTTTCCTTGAGGTTCTAAGTCCACCTGTAAATGAAAAATAATTTTGACTAACTAAAAGGAAGTAAACTCGTGCACAAACATCTTACACTATTAAGCATTATGTTGTTATGAAAAATCCATTGACTTGTCAAACATGGTTTGTATTACCCGACAAAATTCATTTAATTATTATTCTTATTATTATTAGAATTATTATTATTGACATTTACATGTATATGTGTCATGTGCCTCTGTGTCGTCGGTGTGTGTATATTATATATATATAAAATATATTATATCTAATAATATATTACTATTATATATAATAATATATATATATAGTACGCTGTATATATATAGATATTATATATATGATATATATATATATATATTTCAATTCTTTTTGAATTTTAATGCATTGATAGAATTATTTTAAACTCCTTTAATTTCTGCACATTAACAACTGATACTTTGTAACAATAGTGAATGTAATTAGTTATAATAATTCAATGTACATAATTTATTGTTGACTCTACAGTTATTAATTACAACTAAAATTCAATTTTGAAAATAACATTTAAAATTTATGAATATAGTTCAGTTTTCTCACTGACAATAATTCAGAACAAAATACTTTGGCTTTAATTAACAAGTATTTCAGAATTGGTCACCTCATAAATCAGAAACATCACACCTTTTAAATGCATTTATAACATATTTAAAAGTAATGAAGGACCTTTTTTTTTCATTTCATATTTGCTAACTGGTGATGTTGTCCCCCCTGCAACTTATCTCAGAACATCCTACTGCCATGACCTTGCTCATAGTTTCATTAATAAGCTTACAATTCCATTAAAAAACAAGATAATTTTAAAATAGATTATTACAATTTCTTCTTGATCAGAAAAATCAAATATGTCAAATATATCTTCATCTCTTTCCACATCTTCTCCCCACATCCACATCACAACATGATCTGGCATTTCAAAGTTTATTTACTACTTTTATCAGGACAAAGTCCATAAATGAGCTGACCAATAACTTTCTAATAGATAATAACAACATTCGGATTATTAAATTTACATTTCCAGAAGTGCTAAAGCTTATAAATAGTATGATTTTTTTTAACTTCATCACAGATCTGACTTCTATAACAAGGAGCAAATTACTGTCATACAAAAATTACTATTGAGGTAATATTTTACGTATATTTAAGGTTTAATACAAAATCAACTTTCTTTGGATAAAAAGGGCATATCAATTTTCCTATCACTTGACAACTGAATGTAAGGAAAACAAATTTAAGTGAACTATTCTATTACACAGATGATGTGTTTTCATATTAATGTTCTTTATTTTGTCAATTTAAAGTTGGAAGAACAAAATTTCCTAAATTTTATGTTATTACAAAAATTATTGGAATTTCGATTTTAGTTTAGCAGTCTCAGAAAGAAAAAAAAACTATATTCTTTGATATGTTTGGTTTGCAAAAACAAATAGAAATATTTTTTACCCATAGCAAAAATGTTTTTTTCTTATTTCATACATAGTAATGACACTGGGAATGTAATTTAGAATATTCTTTCCAACAAAAAAGTGCCTGTACACACAAGTTCCGCATTATGGAGCTATTACTTTTGTCAAGGTTTGACTTTAATACATCCCTCTTGTATTGACCAGGTCTTTTAGAACACTAAATTTTTGTATCTTATTTTGGAAGAATAAATTAGTTAACTTGTATTACATCTTCAAAATTACCTCCCTTTTACGTAAAACTCTACATATCTAATTCCAACCTAACCTCCCATAGCACATTTCAGCAAACTACTTTTTTTCACTAACTTGCTAGCAGAATTTGAAACAAACTTGGCAACAATTCTATTTTGAATTTAATTACAAATACTCAGGGAGGCTCTACTCAATATTTTAAGCAGATTCAAGGGAGCTCAAAAATAACATTATGCCAAATGTGTTTTCCAATGATTTACAGAATTTTTCTTTTACTTGAGAAATAAATTATTTTTGGAAAGATGGTCTTATTTTCTCTGCATTGAAATCCTTCGACACACTACCAACTTTGCTACCTACTCAGACTAAACAATTTGCATACATTTAGGCTATTGTTTTATAAACTAATAGAAACAAATTTATATTTGCAATAATCAGAGCAGTTTTTTGGCCATTATCTTAAAATTTTCATCACACAATAGCAGAAGGGACTTCTCCTGGCCACAAAATATGTAATTTAATTTAAACGTGCTTTTAAAAATCATTGAAAAATTCAGTATCTTCCCACTTACCTCTTGACATTTTCTGACAGGATTATAAGTCTTCTCGTCTAACCAATTTGTAGGTCAACAAAGCATGCCACCATGAAACTAACAATAAACCCCAATGATTTGATTTAAAATTCCCTTACCTAAGACAATTATGAAGCATACAGAACAGCACAGATATACAAGCAAAATAATATTGAAATACTGAATGAAGTGGACAGAAATTGCACACAAACCAATCAGTTTCCGTATAACTAGGATATTGCTAATTAATATAATGACTTGTGGCAACCTAATTCTACTGATAATTACACACAAGTCCAAACAAATTTAATATCTGATAAAATAACTCTTCCTTTCGCATATACATTAACATCATGCTTTGATATAGAACTTGACAGATATGCAAGAAAGAATGTTGTATAGCAAAGGAAAGACTGTGGAAAGGTTAAGGATAACATAAGTGCTTCAAAAATGTAATTGAAATAAAATTATTTATTGAACTTTCATACACACAACAAACAATTTATTTTCTTGCTCACAGAAATGCAAGAAAAATTATACACACAAATGCACTCTGATGCAAAATTAAGTTTTTACAGTTGTAAGAGGTAAAGCATTTCATGCACTGCTATTGAAACTATATTGTTGCTATTAACAGTCTAAACAAAGGCCGATGCTGAAAGCATAGATAAAAAGAAGTAAATAAATTTATGTTCATGAGCATCTGCAAATCAACACTTATTTTAAACCTTCAAAAAATTACTAGTCTATCTTTTTCATACACCAATTAAGATGTGTAAATTCACTATCAACATCATTTGGATTCAATATTTCTGAACAGTTGGAAAATCACTCAAAAGCTACTTTGCATTTGTTCACATAGATATTAATGATTTGATGCTGGCAATTTGAAAAAAAATTACCGATCAGACCTTCTTTCCCAAAAAGAGTAACAAAAACAACTACTTTAAAGGCAACTGACAAATTACTTCACAATAAAATTGGTAATCTCATTCCAGAAAACAATGTAATTTCTGTCACTTTTAACCTGGCCTTGATCAGTCTGTAATGAGGCATTTGCAATGCTCTTTGTAAAATAAAAGTCGTTCTCGCCACAAACATTAAAAGCAGAACAGAGAAATAAAAAAAAGGTTCAGAAAAATAAGATATTTGTAGGGAGAATTCTAGCAGCTAGAAAATCAAGAAAGCAGTGGCACGCACAATCTACAGCAATGGATAATTCAACCTAGAAAATTGAAATATTCATACCCACAAATCTGCAGAATCTTGCTCCCTATGAACAAGATCTTCAAATGGAATAGTGCAATTTGCCACAAAATCATCTGGCGGGATGGCGGCATCGTGGAAAACAGTCAACCCCAGGTTGACGGCGCTTTGCACGTCGTGGACGAAGTATTCGTTCCATACTGGGTTGAAAGTCTTTGGTTTCGTTGAAGAACGATCTAAATGATTTTCATCCACGTCTATTGACACATAAGGATCTATTGGCTGGTCATCTGGTTTCCCAAACGCCATATTATGCCGCTTTTGAAAATCCGTAGGTCTCAACCCGCAAGCCTCGCATATTGTCACCTTCACGGTTCCAGTAAACATTGGCGTCGACAATCACACAACTCAAACAAAACTCTTCAGCAATACTAGCAGCCCACTCATGTAATAAAATAATATGTCAACCGCATAGGGAAACTCTTAAATTTTCTTCCAAAAACAAGCCTTTCTTGACAGCCATGAAGGTCGATTTTGATAAAAATTCACTGCACTCTAATTAGCAATCCCACAATGCCCTTCGATACGTCACAGCGAATCCAGCAAAGATGGCGGCGTTTGTTCGACTGTACATGTTGAAGAATTTCTCAGTTCCATTCACCAACAAATCTGCGTATTTTGGATTAATTAATCTCTCGCATAGGTACGTAACATATCAAATCCATTTCTACCACGTATGTACCCATTTTTAGGAGAAATGTGGTTAATAAGTTCTTCGTACAGTGTGAGTAGACCTGCCACTTGCTGCACCAAAACGCTATCTTTGAATACGCCTTAGAACTAAAGTCATGAATCGATTTTAATTTTCAAACATTTCCAATAGTGAAATTAAGTTTATTAATGGAGAGAACTGAACGTCATATTCATATACATTAATTAATAGTAGTTTTTATTAATAATCGTCGATCAGTTGAACTGTCAGGTTCCGCTAACGTATACATTGGTACATGACATTTAACTATTGCTTTCCTATCTTATTTTATATTCGGTCGAGTGAAGGAACTTTTAACCAATTATATTTTCTAGATTAAAACTGAGTTCAGATTCTCCCAATCCAAAAAATCATGCCGCAGCCGATGGGGTGACTTTAAGCACAAGTTGCACAAAAAGACTGAAACAAATAGTTGATGATGACAACACATTCCTGAGGATTGTTGTTGAAGGTGGAGGATGTTCAGGATTCCAATACAAGTTTAACTTAGATTCTAAAACACAAGAAGATGATGTGTGAGTATGTTTTGATTTCTGTGATTGGTTATATTTAATTTCAAAGAACAAAATTTGTGACATAGCGCAATTGCAATCTAAAATGGCAGTTTAAAAACAAAGGAAAAAATCTTCCAAAAACAGTTTTTTCTTAGTATAGTAATATCTTTTAGGAGCGATGGTTCTTACAATACTTTTAATTATTTTTCAGGATGTTTGAAAATGATGGAGTTCGTGTTGTAATAGATTCTACATCATTGGACTACATTCGAGGATCTACTATTGAATATCATGAAGAACTTATAAGATCTGCTTTTAGGATAGTTAACAATCCTCAAGCAGAGCAAGGTTGTTCCTGTGGAGCTTCATTTTCTATAAAATTAGACTGAATTGTTTAATGTGGTTTCTGAGTAATATTGTTCAAGAATCTGAATTGTAGTAAATTGTAAATATTTTTTTCCCTTTCAAATGTATATTTATTTCATTTGTAAATACATTTAATCAAATACAGAGCATTGTAATTTGAAGAATCCTTTTCAATTTAAATTATAAAAAGAAAATTGTACACTTCAGAAGAAAGAAAAAAAAAGCATTGCACAAATATTTTGTTCATATTACAAAATTTAACAATCGAGATAGCAATATATATTACAAACAAATACAGGCAAAGTTTTCATGTACATATATACTGAATGAGCATTCATTATCTTATGACATATTTGGGCTAAGTCATAGATTTTGAAAACATATCCATATATCTTGATTTAAAAAAAATGCAGAGGGAGAAAGTTGTTCCAAATGCAACAATAGACCATCCGAATATAAATTCGAAAACATTTTACACAGGTTTTAGAAACAACACACATTGCATTTTCTATTCTGGATACAAACATCCTTTTGATATCTGAAGGGTCATAAGCCCAGCTTTTAATATTAACTAGACAGAAATCTACATCTGTACATACGCAACCACAATTAAGAAAACTTAAAAGTATAATTATATTAATTCATTAGGACTTAAAGCAAAATTCTTTGGTGCAAAGACAGTTGACCGAAATGAAATAATTATAATACAGACCACTTTATGCCCTTGCCCAATCATCAGTCCCCATTCATTGTATATTTCTTTTCAAATTATTAAATACTAATGGCACAAAGTACACAATAGGGGCAATAAATAATGGTCAGACATCTTCAATTATTGGCTGTTCAAGAAAATAGAATAATTATTTCTTGAATTTACTTTCACTTCAACAACAGTATAGCTTGGCTTGGATAATGCAGCATCTTAGGCAATAATACAAATATTTTGATTGACGTCAGTAATCCACGTGAAAGCCACTGAAATGTTAGCACTCTCATTTAGGAAACATCAACAAGACAACGAATTTCACAAAAATTATTTTAGACCGGTGAGTCTCTAATAAATGGAAGCCATTAAATGCATATAACTTAACAGCATACTGTTCACTCATCACTATATACCACAAAAATAAAAAGACAATAGAGAAGCAGAACCAGCTGCCACATTCTCCTCATTTGAGTATTCTGTTCCATAAAGTGGTCCAAAGGACATGATTCTTCTACATCAAATACAAAACACTTCACTAATAATATTATACGAAAAACATTCATTCACGTTGCCTATGAAATGCAGTACTGACAACACGGGAATATTTCTAAATATTTTCTCATATATACAAAATAGAACAGTTAACAATATCACAAGATGCTTCAAATTCTATTTTACATCAGTTTGAGCAGACACTTGTAAAAGTAATATGATATACTAGTTCAACACTATGAACTGCCTCATTTGTAGAAATGAGAAATTATTACTCAACATGTGCTAGTAGGAAGCTTAATCCAAGAAATTATAATTCACTATAACAATTTTAATAAAAAGCTAAAACTATATTGGTGTAATATCTCACAAAACATTTGCACAATTGCAACTTAATAACAACATTTTACCATTTTTAAATTTCAAAATTATAATCTTATCCACTGCTTTTTGTACCAGGTTGATGTACTGTATTTAATTCATATCACACTATATTGCAACATCAATGGAATGTTCCCTGCAGAACTTCTCAGGCACTCACTTTAGTTTTCCCTTCCGAATGGGCTGCATGAAACAAACAAATGAAAATTAACGTCTATTGTTAAATGATATCATGTTTTTAAATTCAACTTATTTTTCAGACTATTTATTGAATTTTCCTATGGAGAATATATTATTTTGATTTATAATTAAAAGTAAATGTAAAAAAGTAAACAAGAAAATTACTCACTTTATTTGACAATTGATATTTCAATTGATCTATTTCATCACACTGAACAGTCAATTTGTCATTCATATTAGCTAGATGTTCTGACATTATACTAAGCTGGGCTTCATAATTTTGTGTGGTCGTATGAAGTTCATCTTGAAGACGTATCAAAGCATCTTGAGTTTCTTGCAAAGATGTTTCAACTTGTTGTTTCCCTTGCAGACTTAGTTTTAAACGTATCTGTAACACTTGGCACTGAAAGAAAAAGACGCATATGGGAGGGTCAAATCATATTAGCAGAATTTAATTTTAAAAAAATTATTCTTCACCAAATTTCTTAAAATAATCTGCTACATTTAGTATTTCTTAACTTTTGCCCATCAAATTTTTTAACTTTTGTCCATTTGCAAGAATGGTAAAGATTAGGCAGTGTCAAACTTTAGACTGCCAGCAGTGCTTCACCAAATTATAAACTCATGATGCAACGGCTTTCTTTGTACTAAGACTAACTACATTATTGAATTTTAGTAGATCTTGAAAATGACATAATGAAATAAATGACTGTCACTATATGTTCATTCCATTAATATTAATACATAATAAAAAAATTTAGTGAGAAAAACTGATAATAGCAAGTCATAAAATCTATGGCCCATTAATATTCAAAAGGCATAAAATGTGGTTCAGTTGTTTCTAAATGAAAATCCTTAGTGTTTCAACACACAAACACACACATACCCACATATGCACACACACACACACACACGCACGCACGCACATATACAGAGAGGGTTAATATTACATATTATTAATATGTATTAGGCTGCATTGAATAGTATATAATTCATCAGCTTAACGAAAAAAGTTTGTTTTCAATGCACAGACTATATTGGCACCAATTGAAGTGTTTTTAAAATTGGTTTAGGGGTGCCACAAACCCCATAAACAACATAATTTTGGTTATTATTTAGCTTTTTCAGAAAATAAATAAATATTATTTAATGGTATTTTTATTTTTATCAACGGTTTTGTAGCTCAGGTGGTACCCATATTATACAGCAAAAATTTTATAATCATCAAATATTACTTAGGGGCCGTCCGTAGATTATGTAATGCAAATTTGGTGTATTTTGAATAACCCTTCTCCCTCATAATGCATCTGTGAAGCGGGCTTAAACCCCCGTAAATAATTATGTAACGCTGGCGACATCACTGCTCCTCCCTATTAACAACAAGAAAAATAAATTGTATCACACTAAAAACAATTTGTATAAATTCTATTTGTGTTACATATTAAAATGTATAATTAAGTCAAAATTAGTAGGCAATGCTGACTTCACCTAACAATAATATTGGGAATAATTTTTGAGTGGAAGAAGGTCAGAAGATAGTCATGAAAATTTCTGGCAAGCAGTGCACATGCTGTAGTGTACATCATATGGATGAGAGTATTCTGTGCCAATTTAATTGGATTGTAGAATACATTATAGATCAGATTTAAATATTTTTCTTTATATTCTAACAACTCTACTGCTATATAACATGCTGCCTCCACCTCCCTACCCCCACCTATAAAGAATAAAAATTTATGGACGACCCCTTATTTAACCTTGTGTGACAGAGTCAAATAAGGCCAATTTTACATTGAAACCATACAAATAGACAACTTTCATATGGCCATAGCTCCGTAGATTGTTTCCAAAATACTTTTAATTGGGTAAAGATTAAAGCTTGATATCTCTTTTTTAAGAAACTTGCTTAGAACAATTTAACCATTTAACTGCAATCGGCCAAAATTGCGATGCGCGCAAACTCTGTTAACGACCCACATTTGAGACGCACTGCTGGTTTCTTTACTCACTGTTAAAGCCACCACGTCATATAGCAACAATATATAATAAACTCCATTGAAATTACCTCAATTAGGTTTTATTGGGCATTAGCAGAGCTTGGAGTGTGTCCAGATCGACTGAGGAATATTCACTTTAGAATAAATCCTACGAATTTTAGGTGCTAGTATTGTTCATAAACACAAACGTACATTTTGGAAAAATACACATCAGTATCAGGGGATCCAAAGCTTATTTCCGTTGAAATCTCAAAATCGCTTTTCTGCAGCATTGCGTGATTTTCTCTTTACTACGTATATTACTCTGTGTATACGTATACAAGAAAGTAAAAATTAACATCTCAAAAGTAAAAAAAAATCTTTTAGATCAAAAAAATTGTATTTGGCATAATTTTGCAAATTTTAGTTTCGCATTTGCTAGCCTTCAGGAAATATCAGATTGAGATGCAACAATGGCATTCCACCCCTCTAATTGTTCGACATGGTTTACCTGTTTTAATTGTCAAATTTGTATTGATATTTGCATGATAACATTTCGTGTT